ACACATATTTTTTTTGTAAACAAGAAGGTGCACCATGGTAATACATTTTAACAAACACATCAACATGTTACCTAGACAACTCATCACCATAGCCATTGTAAAACCATATATTAATGATACATGTAAAATATAGATTGAAGCAATTCTCGTCGATTGGCTGTATCCTGAGTGTGATTTATATAATGGATTTTGAGTAACATTTGCATCTACCTGTAGTTGAAGAATAGATACAGTGTAGCCTATAACATCAATTAAGTTGGAGTTCAATTGGAAGGAAGTAACGAGGAATATTAAAGCAAGGGAGACTGGGAGATGAGGAAAGCAGGAAGTTAGAAATTGAGAGATTACTCGCGTGATAGCCTTGCATTAATGAATCCTTTATATAATGTTGTCTTACTCTTGAGAGAAAGTAGACGATTTTTTTTAAATTGGAGATTAGTGCAAGTATTAGATATATTGGAAATAAAATTAATGAGAAAGTTATTTTTATCGAGATCAATACATGGGGGGGGGGGGGCACCATCAAAACAGGGCACTTTCTGGAATATAAGGTGCACCTACAAAGGGAAACATCAAACTGTAAATCTACCATATTAAGACATTGATAGACGTACGCGTTACGCATGTCACACACAGAAAAATGAGAAGAAAAGAAAGAATAATGTTTTTAAAAAAGAAGATAGAGGAAAAGGAGAGAGACAGAGAGAGGGAGAAAAAGAAAGAAAGAAAGAAAAAAGGAAGAACATGAAACTTAAATTTACACTTAGGCCTACATATTACATTTCCGACTGAGTTGGCTCGACATGTGCTTAAGTAGTCTGCGGACGAAAGTACAACAATACGAAAACAGAAGTTATATGAAATTGTCTTTAAGAGAGAAAGAGAGGTTAAATTCTAAAATGAAATGAAAGGGGTTATGTGACTCTTAAGGAGGAAATTACAATTTCTATCGCTTATGACGACTATTTGGAATTTCCTAATTTTTTTTAAAGTTCAAGAATTTCCTGGGGCTCCACCCCATGCAAGACTCCCGGCAACAGCAAATTATTTACGCAATTTCTTGCTTTCAAGATTCAAGATTCAATTCAAGATTCAAGATAATTTATTGTCTGATTTTAAAAAAAATACAGAAATTCGTCCTCCACTGGCGAGTGACGTACATATACAAACAACATAAACAATATATAAATACATTCGAGGATACAAAGAAGATACAATACTAATAATAATAACAATAATAATAGCAATAATAGCATTAACAAAGCTGACATGTAAACTTGAAAACTGGCATTTAAAAATGAATCTTGATAATGCACAGAATGCATTGAATAAATGAATTTAAAAGTGCTCTGAAACATTCACCCCTTCTCTCCCAGAAAAGGGGTATGAGGAGAGAGAGAAAAGAACAAATGAGAGAGAGAGAGAGAGAGAGAGAGAGGAGTCGAATGGAGTAGAACAGAAAGGAAATGTGAGGGAGAGAGAGAGAAGGAGGGAGAAAAGAGAAGGTGATAGAAAACGAGGAGCTCTGGGAGGGAAGAGATGAGGTAGAGGTAGAGTACAGGATATCAAGAACAATGACTGCCCGTGGTTAAAAAGACAAATGAGTCGTCAACATTCAAACATTCGAAAATTCAGAGCCGCAAGCTAGAGATAGACCCTGTGCAGTAGAAAGTTAGAATAAAAAAAGTGTTCAATAAGGAACCTAGCCTTAGCCATTTCACATTTACATATACATATACAAGTGTCATGGGACAGCGGCCATAACATACTAAAAACATGTGAGAGGGCATGCATGAAGTCTGGTACATGTATGCAAAGAGATGCAGTGTAGAAGAGAGGGGAGAAATAAGAAAAAGTGGTAGATAAGGGAGAAATGCACACTTAAAACAAAGCTTCAAGTGAAAGGAGGGAAGAGGGAGGGAGAAAGAACATAGCAGCTGACACTCATGCACGCACTCGAGATACGTTGTTCATTCATTAAAAGTTTGAAAGATTACTGTTTCGCATCATTATGGACAGAGTGAAAGGCATTTTAACACTATCATAAAAGACAGTTCTTCTCAAATATACATATTTGTTGAGTTGAAAGACATTTACTGTTATAGGTTACATTATTGCACTTAATACTGACATTTGAAATATTGACATTGATTAAAAAATTGATTAAAAATTTGATCAAAAAAGCATGACAAAAGACCTCAACTGTTCGAAAAATGGTTATCATGAAAATGACTCTGCTTAACATGACAAGACATGCAAAAAACCAGAGTTGTGATCAGAGCATAACATACCAATTTACATGTATGCATGTGTGTGTGCGGGCATGCGTGAAGTCAGGTACATGGATACAATAGAGATAGAGGAAAGGAGATAGATAAGGAAATAAATAAGAAGAGAAGAAAGTGGTAGAATGATAGGTGCACACCCAAAACAATGCTTCAGGTAAAGTTAGAGAGGACAGAAAAGGAGAAAAGATTACGACCTGGCTCCACGCATGCACCCAAACCATCCACACATTACATACACTCAAATTAGAAAATCATCGTTTTACAGAATTGTTGAAAATGTGTATGGCATTTGGAACAAAAGATTGTCTGAATCTACATCGTATTGTTTTAGGCACTGTTAGACGTATACCTGAACGGTTGAACTTAAAGAGCTCATGTAGAGGATGGGATGAATCTTGCATTATTTTATGAATCTTCAGTAGAACCTTCTTTTCATACAGAGCACCAATTGTGGGCAACTCTGTGTGAGTAATTCGCTGAGCGACTTTCCTAGCTCTATTAAGCTTCTTCACATTCTCATTTGACAGGTTCCCATACATGCACACGAGACTGAAAGTAAGGATACTTTGTAACAAACTTTGGTAGAATAGTACCAGGATGGTATTGTCAACTCGGAATTCCCTTAATTTCCTTAGGAAATACAACCGTTGATTAGCCTTTCCTGCGAGAACTTGTGAATTTGGATTCCAATTCAGTTTGTTGTCGATGATTGTCCCTAGATATTTGTATTCTGGGACCTGTTCTATGGGATGTCCATGGATAGTAATAGGCTCATGAGAATGTGAAGAGCGACGAAAATCAAAAATTATTTCCTTTGTCTTTTGTACATTGAGGATTAGATTTGATTGATCACACCATTCTACAAAACTCTGTACTTCTTGAAAGTAGTTCTCAGGCCCATGCTTTAGAAAGCCGCATATAGCTTCACTGGAGCGAAGAAAGGTAACATATAGCAAGAATCCCTATTCAGTGAAGGATTTATCCCTTTTATTATTAAAGACTCCCGACAAAGAATCTCCCCCCGCAAAATTGGAGAGAAAAAATGTAGTTTAAGCTTCTAACAACCTAGCCTATAATCTAGGCGGAGTGCCGAGATTTTTCCTTTGCTGCTATAGACTAACCTTAAGCAGAACGTCTGATACGGCGAGACTACGGACCGTGAGCCGCGCACCGCCTATAATCACTGGTCTAGCTTTAGTCGTTGTTTTTTTATTATCGACATTGAATCCGTGGCAGTTTTTCGTACGAAAACTGGCACGGATTCAAGGTCGATAATAAAAAAACAACGACTAAAGCTAGACCAGTGATTATAGGCGGTGAGCCGCTTCGCGACTCACGGTTCGTAGTCTCGCCGTATCAGACGTTCTGCTTAAGGTTAGTCTATAGCAGCAAAGAAAAAAGCTCGGCACTCCGCCTAGATTATAGGCTACTAACAACCACGCCCGTGGACCTTTTATCATTTACACAAAGGTAAAAGTGTATAGCAAGAATCCCTATTCAGTGAAGGATTCATCCTTTTTATGCAGATGCTTCTTCTACCATTCTTGACCAGAAGTGCGTTTCAAACTCAATGATATGGGCATCGTCCCATTGAATGTTGTGTCCAGTGTTACGGGTTTGTTTTGCTACTTGCTGCCTAATCTGAGGGCTCTGTTGTGCTCTTTAAAAAGAGGACACAATAGGGGCGGCGCAAAGGAGAATTGTTACAGTTTTAAAAAAAACAGAACCGCCAGTGCTTCCACTCGTTTAAATAGAGTTTCCTGAAAAAGAACACCCAATATCCTGGAATTTGAAAGAATTTTCTTAGGCTTTCAAAATGCCTCTTACGTGGATTTCTTATTTGGATGAATCGCTATGACGTTTTAATATATATCAATTATTGAGTGGGCTTATTTTGCTTTCTTATGGATCCATACAACATGGCAGAGCTTGAGGGGCCTGGCAGAGCCTTTTCAAGAGAGAAATTGTCTTTAGGAGAAAAAAAGAGGTTATTTCTAAAATGAAATGAAAGGGTTATTGACTTTCAAGAGAGAAAATTGTCTAAAAGAGAGGAAGAGAGGTTATTTCTAAAATGAAATGAAAGGGCTCTTGTCAAATAGCCCTTTCATTTCATTTTTTCTCTCGAAATAAACTCTCTTTCTCTCTTATAAACAATTTTATGAGATGGAATCTTCAATCTGAAGCCTTTTTGTGCTCTTTGAAAATGGCACACTGAATGGGGGCAGTGCAATTTAAATTTCAAGGGATGGATTAGAGTTTTTATCGCTCTTGAAAGTCAAATAGCCCTTTCATTTCATTTTAGAAATGAACTCTAATACATTCCTTGATATTTAAATTGCGCCGCCCCTATTGTGTCCTCTTTTTAAAGAGCACAACAGAGCCCTCAGATTAGGCAGCAAGTAGCAAAACAAACCCGTAACACTGGACACAACATTCAATGGGACGATGCCCATATCATTGAGTTTGAAACGCACTTCTGGTCAAGAATGGTAGAAGAAGCATCTGCATAAAAAGGATGAATCCTTCACTGAATAGGGATTCTTGCTATACACTTTTACCTTTGTGTAAATGATAAAAGGTCCACGGGCGTGGTTGTTCTCTCCAATTTTGCGGAGGGGAGATTCTTTGTCGGGAGTCTTTAATAATAAAAGGGATAAATCCTTCACTGAACATTTGCCCATTGTACCAATGGTTCATATCAGACGGACTCACCAGTACTTAGATCCATCGACCCCCTCCCCCTCCTCATTCCCATGTTGTGATTTGGAACAGACAGACAGAAGAAGAACAAAAAAAGATTTTAGATTCTCCATCTATAATTTTGTTTCTTTCTTTCCTCTCTTTCTTTATTTTTTGATTGGCGACACCACCTACATGAACGTCACACCTTAACGTCGCAGATTTTGGCCTCTACATTCATTCCTTTTCATTTGATGAAATAACGTGACAAATTACGTGTCGGACATCCTACTCATTGCATCTTCACGTATTTCATCATGATCGTTATACACAATAATCGCAAAAGCTGTCATAAGAAGTGAACTCCAATCATCCACGTTGTCATATTCTATCTCAAAAGCAACATTGGAAAAATGGAAAATCATTCTATAACTGCAAACTCTATTTTGAAGAATGGTGTCAGCAATGTCAATGGAGTTACCGGTTCTGCCGTGAATTTGAACGGTTCCGGGAAGTTTCACCAGGCGGGTGGACTCGGCCGCGGGGGAATACGACGTTACGTTCATGCTCTTCGACCGTGGTCATTCAGTGCCTCATTAACTGCTATGCTGCTGGGTTCCACACTGGCCTATAAATCCATTGGAACTTTAAACCCTATGGTATGCCTTGCTTCTTCCTTTGCAGTGCTCTTTGTCCACGGTGCAGGTAACCTGGTCAATACATATTACGATTACATGAAAGGTGTTGACAGCAAAAAGAGTGATGACAGAACTTTGGTTGACCACAGATTGGAGCCCAACACTGTTGCTACGTTTGGTGCTGTGCTCTATGCTCTCGGCTGTGTGGCTTTTGTTGTTGCAGCTGCTTTTTCTCCTGCAAAAATGGAACACATTGCATTGCTTTATTTTGGAGGTTTGTCCAGTTCTTTTCTGTACACTGGAGGAATCGGATTCAAATATCTAGCCCTTGGTGATGTGGTCATCCTTATTACCTTTGGTCCTCTTTCGGTCATGTTTGCCTTCGTCAACCAAGTGGGTCATCTCAATATCGTCCCTCTCCTATATGCCATTCCACTTGCCCTGAACACAGAGGCTATTCTTCACAGCAACAACGCTCGAGACATGAAAATAGACAAGCTAGCTGGCGTCATCACAGCAGCCATTTTGTTGGGGGAAACCGCTTCATACGCTCTCTACTGCTTCCTCATCTTCGTACCTTACATCACCTTTGCTGTTGTTGGAATGAACTTCTCTAAATGGCTCCTGATGCCAATGCTCACTCTTCCAATGGCTTTCAAACTTGAGAAAAAATTTCGCCAAAGAAAACTGAAAATGTTACCATATGAAACAGCACAGCTGAATTTATTGTTTGGTATGCTCTATGTGTTAGGTTGCCTATTTGCAGATAAGGAAAGCCTTCCTGGGTTATAGTATAGACACTTTAGACAGCCATCTGAAAAAAGGGATGATTTTGTTTTCTTATCATGTACTTTTATATGGCAGAGAAAATTTTGAAAAATCAGTATTGCTTTAACATTTACAATAAAATGAGATAATTTATCATGGTATGTGTATGTACATTAATGTACTTGTATCTGTTATATTGGTTGTGCTATGATTGTACATGTTTTAAACAATTGCTCATAGTATAGACTTGTATAATCAAAGTGATGTGCATGCCTGTGAAACTAGCGAAAAATGAGATTATATGATCTTTACTTTACCTTTACCGCAAATACTGGAAGAATGCTGAGACAGCAGTCAAGCTTCCAGGTCTATCTTCTTGGTCTATCTTCTTGTACTTGTACTCTTTAATAATAATTCTCATTATATGCAAGGTTTACTTCTTTACTTAACATTTCAATTTTCAAGTGTCATACTGTACATGTCTATGTGGGAACTGGACGGGGAGAAATGTGTAGGTCTCTGACATACATGTTTTCACATAACTCTCTCAATGAATATTAATTTGATTGCCTAGTTGATACCTTTATTAATTCCAAGCAATTCAACATATTTTGTTATGAAGATTTCTCATGAAGGCAATATTTATAAATTGAAGTGATTCAACTTTTTTATAGATTTTCTTTTCTCTTTTGCAATGTCTCAATACATCTATTTTGATATGTGACTAAAAAATACATTAAAGCCCACCTGTACTAATTTGGCCAGGAGGGATTAGACTACTCAGAGTGGTCACTGACAGGTGGCTATCTCATCCACTCATCTCTCATTAACATAAAGAGGATCATGGGGGACCAATGGGCACCGCTTAGGCATTGTTTTCTATATAGAGGGAGCAAGTACATTTGTAGCTACAAGTAGTAGAGTGGGACTTTAAAGTGTCCTAATCACCAAAGTTCATTTGCTCTGTATCATTTTAGGAGTTTCCTGTTGCTATACTATTTTCCAAATATACATGTAGAATGCAAATGGCTTTTTATGGTGGACAGTTGCTAAAATCGATTTTGATTTATCATTATTGATTTACCAATACATCTGTAAGATATTGCTAATTGAACTATACTCTCAGTAAACAAAGACAGGACTTGTGAGTACATGTACTGTAGACTAGCCAACCCAACCGTACATACTTGTTTATATGGCCCACATGGAAACCAAGTCTGACTTGCATTCCGTGTGCCGGTGTTATTTCTTTCTTCATACTAACTCGGTATTTCTGTGATTTGTTATGCTGATTGAAATGTTCTAGATGTTTTCATATTTATGTTTCTAAGGTGTTTGGGATCCTGTGAGGTGAAAACAGTATACTGGTAATCAAAATTATACATTGAATAACTGACAAAATAGTGGGAGTAGAAGGGGTGGGGGTGCATGGTTCTGGAGAATATTGTTTACCAATGTACATATTCATTGCAGGTATTCAATGTACACTAATTACTGTTCAAGGTGTTCAATGTTTTGTTTGCAATTAGGAGGGGATCTAAAAGCATAATTCATGTGCTCGTTTTAAACATAAACCCGAACAGATGAAGCAGAATCATTGTCTGATATTGGATAAGGGGGAGAGGTACATACATTATAAAACTTTCATATTGACTACAATGTACAAAAGGCAAAGTTTTGCATACATGTACAACATAAATTTGTTTACCAACGAATGCAAGTGCCTGCAAGAAATTCGATTAGGTAACTAAATTTTGATTACCTACTTCTTTTTTCTTTTTTCTGTAGTAGTGAAATGGATTGAATTTCATTTTAGTTGTAATATTTATTGCCTGCATATCGTAGCATGAAAATGTATTAGACCAGCACAGACCACTCTGTAAGACCATTATGTAATTTATCACACTGAAGAACATTAACTTCCAGACTGTTCCATGTCTTAGAAAGGACATTTAATTTCTACATAGTTTGAGTTTTAAGTCCTGCAAGGAGCAGTTTAATTGTTCTCCCAAGGGCAGAAATAGATCTTTTGTGGGATAGTGGGACGCATACATGTGCATGGAATAGGATGAGTCTGTTTGGTAAATAACTTCCAAGGGCAGAGCTACGTGTATTTTAAAAGTAACAGGAAAGGGGGTGACATGGACCCCCCCCCCCCCCCAACACACACATACGCACGCATGGCTCTGTCCTTTTGGATACACTAACATTATACTTTATATTGTTTTTCAATGCTCAGAAAGACTTACTACTTACATGTAAAAGACCAATACTGTGAAATTCATAGTATTAATCACAAGATTGACTGCAATTTTCATATGGATTTAAAAGTGCTCTTGAATGGAAATGTAGTGTATTGCATACAGATGTGCAATCACTGTTTGTGCAATTTAGACACATGTAGTCCAATAATATAAATTTTGAGATTATCCATAATTTTACTATCCAACTCAGAGCAAGAGGTAGTTTTGAAAAAAATAAAAAACTTAAAACATAATGTCAATGTTGAAATGCAATGATTAATTAATGATTGCAGTGTCAATATATTATGTTCTTTAGTTTGAAAAGCATTATAAGTTTTATTGTCCATTTTTTTTCTCATTCATGTTGCTGTTGTTGTTTTGATATACTTTCTGTCCTTAATGACCTTGCCATTGACATTTTTTGTACAGAACACTCATTGTAAATGTTCATCCATGACTCCATGTAATACTATTAATTTATGGTCATGTGCAAAATAGCAATGACACATGGTTAAACAATTATAGTGATCATTCAATGAACCATAAACTAGTATTTTAAGTTGCTTTGATTGTATATTTACAGAAGGAGTCTGACTTCATAGTTGCTTGATACGTGTATATGTATGTTCATGGGCCATTGCTTTGTAGCTGAATTGTAAAGGGAGGGATGAATGGAATGGTTATCATTATTTGATTAATGAATAATTAACCTATAAATTATTGATGAAAGTATATTTTTTGTGCATTATGATCAGTATCAACACAATATATGTTTAATAAAATGATGCACATAAATGTGCTGTAAAAATTAAAGACATGTAATTTCATTAATTCAATGCAACTAATTTCTTTATCCACAAATCATAAATGGATTTTTTTTTTTCTTTTTCCATGCATCATGCAGAAAATATATAAAGGTAATGACAATACAATCATTTTGATGTTGACAAAAATAGAAGAAGTAAAATGTACAGCCATGCTCCACAATGCAATTTTCTCCCCTCTCCAAAACTTATATTTATTATAGAGAGAGGGGAGGGGTTATATAAACTTGATGAATGATACATACATGTAGGAATATTGAAAAACAAGAATATTGGTAAGAGAGAAAAGAAAAGGAGAGAGAGAGAGAAGAAGATATGTAGGGAAGAGAGACAGAGAGACAGAGAGAAAGGGAAGGGAGACAAGGGGATACATGTACATGTACATGTAGGAACCAAGTTCAATTAAAACTTATTTGTGTCATGATATGTTGGGGAGGGGGAGGGTTGCTACACATCATAAAATTGTATATGGATTTTTAAATATTTTAGTAAATACTTTTCATTGTTCTGTCTGTCCCAATACTTGTTTCTTTCTTATTTCTTTCCTCTCTGTCTTTCTTTCTTTATTCCTCCTTCCCTGGATCCGCCAGAGTCCAGAGATACTATGAACCTGCTAGTAGAAATATTTTCTTTATACAAACAAATTGACAAATACATTTTATCTTACACACAATTGTAATTATCAAACTGTAGGCCTATGAAGTATTTTGTTTGCGTTGTATGTGTTTATAGAGCCTTCATATGCACATGTAGTCAGTTCGGTGTAAGGTCTGCCTGTATTGTTCTGATTCGAGACAATATGCCTAACACACAATCATGTTTCTATATGTTTCCCTGCCCGTATAAACAGGAACATACAGGAATATTAAATATCGGAAACGAAAATGGAATACGGTACATATACATGTACATGGATATGACCTAGTGGATATTTCATGCCTGTAAATTGATATTGTGCAAATGATAACTTACGGAACCACCATTATATTATTGCCACAGTTATCCCGTGTCACTATAGGCCTACAACCATTTTGTAAAATTTACTAGCTGTCAGGTGGGGGAAATATATTTTTAACATATTATGTTGACATTTTCTTTTGCCAATCCTTTCAAACAATATCAAAAGTATTTTTTGGAAATTCCTGCGGGAAGGTGCGACGATGCAGATCATTTGAACTTCAGATAAACCAGAGATCACAAATACCCCGGACAAATACATTTCTAATGGTCGATTGTTTACATGAATGACAGTCTGTTACAGGTCTTGTATACAATGCTAATTGTCTGACGTCTGGCGAAGCCATCTAGTCAGGCAACAGTGGCAACGTTCGCTACGCGATGCACTTCACAAACTTTTATTTAACAATACCTGTTGTCCAATTACGTGAATAGGTGTAACAAAAAATATATAGACAAAAATATAAATTGAGTTAACAAACACGAGGTCAAATCCTGTACAAGGATTTTTTGTTGGTCCACAGATTTTCCACCTGCAGTTGCTTAAATACGATATAAATCATATTTAATGCATATTAAATTTCATAAGAGATCCAATTATTTATAGTATCCGTTCGGGAGGGGGGTGAAGCCCTGTCTAGATAATTTAAGCCACTCCCAAAGAAATTATTGATTACAAATTAATTCAAGCGAGGCACATGTGGAAATTTATAAAATAAAACCAAGCCTTCTCCCCAAATGATATTCTTCTAGACCTACCGCTGTTCATGTTAAGTCATGGCTTCAATACAAGGGAGTAAAGTATATTTGCAATGAGGCAATTAAGAAAAGGAAAAAGAATAAGAAACCCCTATCAAGTTTGTTGATACGAAGGTTATTTTCAACTTTTTATCTGCCCCTTAATCAATTACTACAAACTTTTCGACCACATATAGTCTGAGCAAATAAATATCATCTTAATATAACCCAGAAATTATAAGAATAGCAAAGTGGCTGATAAGAGTAACTCTAATCAGTGCTAAATGTGTAATCAATGTTTCTAAAAATACTTTTCCTTGTTTTTTGTTGGAGATGGTTCAATATTCTATTTATCCTACGCATCATACCATCGATCTCACGTAGGCCTACGTATCATAGGTCCTATGAATTATCGGTTCTGGGAGGATTGTTCCAATATCACCTTCATTGAAAGGTTTATAATGTTCTTTGAATCAAATTTCCATGATTAGATGTATTTTTATAAGGGAAAGTTTACCCTGATATAGTTGGTTTTAATATTTAGCAGAGAAACAGTTCAGGGAAGATTTAAGCAATATCCGATTAAAAATAGCAAAGTTATGAATTTCGAAGTTGTCAACAGTGCCAAAATTGGCAACACTGTGACGTAA